TCTATCATTCGTACATCCTGCCTTTCAGAGTGCACAGAAACACTTGCAAGAGAACCAGTATCACGCAATGTCTGGTGAATTCGCGTAAATACACTTCGAGATGGAATCCTTCGATCGGGAAAACGCCTTTGGTATTCTTCAACAGCAGCACGTGCATTGCGACCGCAAAATCCACACACAAAATGCATATCACAATATTCCACGTGTGAAAACACAAGAGGCATTTCAGCAACTCATCACACAACTAATTTACCACCCATTCCCGACCCCGCCGCAACGTAATCTACAGGCTCTGGTAGGTTGCGCATGAGATCACGGCTAGTGTGACATCACCACACTCAAGTACAAACAGATAACAGTCACAGCTGACTGTCCACAGTGTGTGGACCTGCAAGAAGACCACACTTTTCTCGGGCCATTATCTCCGTAACCGTTCAACTTTGGACATAGGTGTTTTGGGTTATATCGGCATACTTTAACATAAGGAACACCCTCCTGAAGTTTGGTCCATTCCTCCTGGGACACCCTGTATAGAATACAGTGTTTATACCATAATAGTATTACAGTACTATAATCTTTATTATCATCTGTATATTTATCATGAAATTTTATATGCAAAAATAAGACAAAATTATGACAGACCTGGAGAACTCTGTGTTCTAAATCCAAAAATTTGCGACGATATTCTGCGATCTTGGCAACAGTAGCTGTGTGACGCCGCTGTAGCTCTGCAATGTCCTCAGCCACACGGTCCAAGAATGCCTGATGTAATTTAGTTTCTTGCTCTTGACACTTCATTCTCCAACGCACTTCACCAAATCCAATCATTGGAACTGGAATGTACTTTTCAGGGTTTGGGTTGTCCAACTGAGCCTGCTTCCACAGTCGAGGGTCAATGCCTATGAAAGTATGATTATGGGACCATGTCAGTGAGATCCCAGGTACAAGAATTTCATTTAATATTTACAATTAAGTTTATTTCAGTACATTGTGACATATAATGCCTTCACCATTTCAGGACTTAGTTACCTAACATGTTTCGATTCCTAATGAATCATCATTGGAGGTATACCACTACGATCAGGAACCCACCAATATGTAAATGTTTTTATAAGACTGTATACACTTAAAACATTTATGATGCTCACTATATGTTTGTTAATTTTCCATTGTCGAAATAGATGTTTGACGTAAACTTTTATAATAAGAACATTCTTGAAGTATATTACTTAGAAGGGACATAGTTGCAATCACTTCCATAAAGGATATTTTTAAAATATAATTTTCTACTGCACTGTATATAAAATTCAATTTGTTTCACAACAGCAGCCTTCCTTTACGTTAAAATTATGTTATTAAACAAATCAAATTCATTTAATATACTTCTCAACTCTAGATTGCCAACTGTTCAAAACTAACACAGAAGTTTGTGAATGGAGCTGACTCAGGATCATGTCTATCAGTAGCATTGCCCACATATATATGTGGCTTTGTGAGGTACCTTCAGTTTGTTCTGTCCACTCACAGATGCATGGAATGAATGTCACGGGCTGGACTTTGCTTGCAGATCCACTAAATGAATACCCTGCTGTGTAATGTTTCCAGTTATTAATAATTGGCTTCAAATTTCATAAACACATACCAGCTGGAGGATTTTCTAGGTATTCCTTGATCTGGTCTTTGTCTGGTGCTACTTGTGCGAACACATTATCTGCACCAAGGCTCAAAAGCTGGTGCTTTTGCATCACGAGGTAGGCTGACAGTTCTGTAGCAGGTATGCGTCTCATCGATCCTAAGAACATAATGCTGTTGCTTGAAAACATAAATGCCTTATATTATACTCTAACATCGAGAGTCTCAAGAGAATGGGACTGAATGGTCTAAATCGACTGACTGCTTATGCTAACAAAGAACTTTATTGGGTGATTATAATGTAATTCCTTTACAAGCAAGAAAGGGAACAGGAGGGAAGTACTGTACAGTATTCTCAAAGAGTTTGGGGTACCCATGAAACTAGTTGGGCTGATTAAAATGTGTTCAAACAAAACATACAGTAAAGTCCATATAGGTACACGTTTGTCTGATAATATTCCTTTCCAGAATAGTCTCAAACAAGGAAATGCTTTGTTACCACTGCTTTTCAACTTTGCTTTAGAATATGCCATTAGGAAGGTCCAGGGAAACCAGGTGAGACTTAAATTAAATGGGACACATCAGCTGTTGGCCTATGCTGATGATGTGAATCTCCTGGGTTATAACATAGATAACATAGTCTCATCACCAGAATGCAGGGAAAAATCATGACTTAAAAATAGCTAATAGATGCTTTAAAAATGTGGCACAGTTCAAATATTTGTGAATGATAGTAACAGATCAAAATTTGATTCAGAAGGAAATTAAGGCAAGATTAAATTCGGATAATGCTTACTACCATTTAGCCCAGAACACTTTGTCTTCTCATCTGCTGTCTAAGAACATAATAATTGGAATATATGAAACTATAATTTTGCCTGTGGTTCTGTGTGAGTGTGAAATGTGGTCTCTGACATTATGGGAGGAACATAGACTGGGGGTGTTTGAGAACAGGGAGCTGAGGAGAATATTTGGACCGAGGGATGAAGTGACAGGAGTTTGGAGAAAACTGCATAATGAGTAGCTTCATAACTTTTACTCTTCTCCAAGTATAATTAGAATGCTCAAGTCAAGGAGGAATACATATAGGATATTGGTAGGAAAGCCAGAAGGAACGAGACCACTAGGAAGACCAAGATGTAGGTGGATGGATAATATTAAAATGGATCTTAGATGGAATGGGGTGGTAAGCACTGGATTGCTCTGGCTCAGGATGGGGACCACTGGAGGGCTCTTGTGAATACAGTAATGAACCTTCAGCTTCTAAAAAATGCTGGTAAGTTCTTGAATAGCTGTACAATTAGCAGCTTCTCAAGGAGGACTCAGCTCCATGAAGTTAGACCCCCAGGAAGATTCCTGGCACTCATTTCTGTTAGAGGCTTAGCCAACTTCAGTGCCATAGTGCAGCTGGAAGGATTAGGGCAACTGAAAAATCCAACGACTTCATCAGGAATTGAACACAAGACCTTCCGGCTTGTAGCATAGTGCTTCAACCAACCACATTACCACATGCATGTGGATAAGAGAGAATTGTGCCCCTGTTCCTTAGTCATCCAGCCCATATCCTACTGTTAGGGCAATAAAATACAGATGCTTACAGTGACCTAGATATGTAAGACAGAGAACTCTCTTACAAAACGATCACTTAGACAATCAAAGACAATATTATGAGGGTCATACTGAAAGTCATGAGCAACAATTTTTTGTAAAGTAACATGCTTTATTATTGAAAAACCAAATACACCACCTCAATCTACAGACCTCTCTTTATTTTTCCACATAATCGCCACTTATTTGTACATATTTCTCCCAGCATTCTGGGAGTTTGAAAATTCCCCTTCTGTAAAATTTCGTTCCAGCCATCCGAAGACACTGACACACTGCTTTCTGAATTGCCTCCCTTGTCTCAAAACGCTGTCCACGCAGCTGACCCTTCACAAATCCGAATCGGAGGGTGCCAGATCAGGGCTATGGGGGGGGGGAAGAACTTCCCACTCCATCTTTGCAATTGCTTCTAATGTGAGGCGAGCGGTGTGGGGGCGAACATTGTCATGCAGGATGATGATGTTTCGTTCCGGACGTTTATCGCGCAATGCACGACGGAGCTTTTGCAGCGTCTGGACATAATGAGCAGCATTGCTGGTTTGCCCAGGTTCCAGGAATTCGGCCAGAATAAACCCCTCTGCATCCCAGAAGATTGTGCCTATCACCTTTGCAGCTTATGGCACCACTGCCTTTGTCTTCTTTTTTGATGGAGAATGCAAATGGTGCCATTCCATACGCTGCCGTTTCGTTTCAGGCTCGAAATGGTGAAACCAGCTTTTGTCACCTGTCACAATACAGAGAAAAAATCATCGCCTTCATGTNTTGAGGATGACTGCTCTCAGGCTCATCTTCGATGCTGGTGTTCCCATCTTTAAAATGTTTCACCCATCTTCGAACACTACTCGCAGCCATTCATACACTTTCATAAGCACGCTGAAGTCTCTTGTGAATTTCTGCAGCAGGGATTTCCTCTTTCACAAGAAATTCGATGAGAGCACGCTGGCGAAACGACATATCATTGTCGGCCATTTTGCTAGGAGTGATACTGGTCATGTGATGCAAGCTATTAACGTCACAAGACACTCAAGGTTAACACAACAGCTGGTTCCACCTAACACCGTACTCTCTTTCATCTGCTGTTTCCAGGTTTCATGCAAAAAGAAGTTGCTCATGACTTTCGGTACGACCTACGTAAAATGGATTCTTGGGGCACAAATTTGAAGGTGGATAGACTTGGTTCAGGATCAGGTGTGTTGAACCTTCAGATTTATTGTCATGAAATGAACTAAGTTTATTATTTATTATTGTTTTATAGCTATTATCCATATATGGAATTTTATACATTACCTGTAACACTTTTTTCTTGGACATATATAACCACCTGGGTCTTGGTTTCATAGATGAGTTTTATGCCTTCAATGGTGAGACTTATGTTTGGCTTGTTACCCAGTACCATATTCAGACTGCTTATCAGCTGTGCCTGTTGGCTCCTGCACACACAACATGTAGAATAATATCCCTGAAATTATGTACATTACTGTCTCCTGAAACGAAGGAGTGTCACTTGTTTTCTGCCTTTTTTCTATATATTCATGAAAAAATCAGTCTTTATATTAATCTATAATAATAAAGTCCTCCTTTTGATGTCCTCAAAATCATTTGAAGGTGCAGTACTTTGAGAAAAGCTCTTCATTAAATCATTTACGTAGCCGTTGCTGAGCATTGGCTGGTTCATAGCCTGTGATTGACTAGCTCTCGATTCACTGTGGGTGGTTACCACAGTACTATTACATTCTATTTAGAGGCTAGAGCAGTAGATTATCATGTACAATAAACTTATTACAGCTGTGTGAAAGGTGTACATTGTACGCAGAGGTACCTTCAAACTTGTATGAGACGGCATACATGTATTGACAAGGAGGCATGGAGGTAGGATTACACACTGAGGCCTACTTTTGCATGAGAGAACATATGGCTCCAGGGTCATTCTGGACATGGTAGTGGAGAATACATTTAAAAATTTTTATGTTTCTTTATGCTTATTTAAAATGTTAATTAGAATTTTGTCATATTTCACGCAGAGACTGCAGCTTATGTACGCATTATATGAACCAGGAACTGAATAAAGAATATACTTGTAAACTGGACATGGTGCAACAAAATCATTTGTACCAACTGTTAGGAAACCAAGGAATGCCAGAAATCTGTTAGTTCAGCTAGCTCTGTGAGGGGACAGAGGTGCACCTCCAAAATATAAACTAAAGCCAGTACAACACAAGGTACAAAGTCCATGCTTGGTTTACCGGATTTCTTCCTCTTTCTTGTTGAAGGTGATTGCCACTAGCCCCTGAGCATTGTCTGAAGACGGCATGCAGCTGTATCCAATAGCTTTAAATCTGCACAAGGGGTTCTGCTGTGTCAGCTCAATTGGAGGAGCCATCTGTGAGTAGTAAGCTGTAAAAATGTATAAAATGTAGTTAATTAAATTAAATCCTTGGTATAACAATCAGCTTACAAGTCTAAAGTCCACCCTCTTGCCCTGTGTACTGTAATCTTTTTCGTTATTGGAAAAATTACTGACCCCTCTATCAGTAGCCAGGATAGTGTAGTCGGTATAGTGACTGGCTATGGGCTGGATGACTGAGGGATTGGAGTTCGAGTCCCGGCAAGGTCAAGAATTTTTTCTTCTCTGTGTTGTCCAGACCAGTTCTGGAGCCCATCCAGCCTCCTATCCAATGAGTACTAGGGGCGCTCTCCCTGGGGGTAAAGCGGTAGGGGGTGAAGCTGATCACTCACCTCCAACTAGTGCTGAGGTCAAGAAAATGTGGATCTATACACCCACTCCCCCCTATATCTTTGTGGCATAGTGCTTAATTAGTTAAGCACAGGGACAACTTTACTTTTACCTTACTGTTGGTAGTCACTTACAAACTGATGTCACTTCTATCTTGTCCACCACTATATCACTGCATGCCACTTCTGTCTTGCACTGAACTAACTTGTGATTCACTGCATGCACTATTCCAAAGTCTGTTTTGCTAGCCACCGACACTCAAGTGACCAAACTCTGATTTGAGGGTAGCAGCCACTTTTTTCTGCATGTAATTTTTCTAGAATCATCCCATACCTTCACAAATGAACAGGGTGCTCCACGTCACTTATAGAGGACAGGTCACAAACCTTCACTGACCAAAGGCAAGTGCAGGCCTACATATGATCTATGTCTTGCACTCAGTTCACATGGCAGTACACAGACAAAACTTCCCAATGAGCCAACATTATAATAATACTGTTCTCATAAACAGCATCAACTAAATAGTTCTGAATAAAAAATTCTCAACTCCCAACACAAAAACATAAAAAAATAATAATTATATCAAGATTTGAGCCTGTCACAGCAGTGACTATGAAGTGTCTTCTGGGAGGTGACACCATGCAGTCTGGTAGATGGTTCCCACTATTTGAAAGGAATGTACTGTGTTCACTTTCAGGTTAGATGAAAATGTAGGCAATGGGTTCTTCCAGAATGTCTGTAATAATCTGCCACACTACAAGGTGTCACATCTCAGAAAACAACAGTCTCATTGATGAAACCTCCATACAGGGGGACTGAACAGCTACACACTTTAACACTTTGTGCTCAAGGTAGGCAGACAGGGGTCTGACAGACCACCAGTCATCAAACATGCACTACAGTATAAAATTAAAAAACATAAACCTAAGACTAGCCAGTGAATTCTAGAATACTATGTATCCTAGCATACACATACTTCTTTTTGAGAGAATATTTCTGTGGTGTATTTTCATGATAAATCAATTTGATTGAGACACATGTGAACACAAGCACAAACCATGGGCATATCTGACCTGTTTGTATACCTTTCAGAAGAAAATGAAATAAGCAGACATGCTTACATTGAGGTCTTCTGGGCTATGACATTGTACAGACTAGCAGGTGATTACCGATGTTTTGGACGAATCTACTGCTTCTGTCTTCAGGTAATACTTATACTCTGAATACTGGTTACCATCTACAAGGCTACACAGTGTCATAAACCAGGAGACCACAATCTGAAACTTCACTGGCATGAAAACCTCAAATTTCATACAAGGAAACATCTGCATGTTATATATCGTAACTAAATATGGCCACTCTGAAAAGAACTACTTACCTTTGCCTGCCCCCCAGAGAGCTTGCAGTAAATTCCACCTTGCCAGTGTAGTGTCTCTCTCATCCCCATATACATTACAGTTCAACACAGCATTATGCAAAGCCTCGAGAGGATTTGGCGGAACCTGCTGCTGTGGCTGGGTTAAACCTGCCAGGTAACAAGCCATTAATGAATTTGACAGGATTGACACTGGTATGTAGAATATTTCAATCCAACAAGATTGGCAATGGATATGTTCAGAGCACCAGTGAGCTCAAAACAAGTGGGATATATAAAGTGGAAACTATCGGAAAGTTCCTGGACTAGCTTAACTTAATTTTGGCTGCCATCTTCAAAATAGTCTCTTTTGGAATGTATACAGTTATCCCATCATTTTTTCCGTGCTTCAGAAGCACCATGGAAGTCATTTTCCTTAATGCTGTCGAGTACCACCTGAGATTCCCTTTGGATGTCAGACACTGTTTCGAAACGTCGTCCCTTTGGTTTCATTTTGGGAAACAAAACGAAATCATTGTGGGGCTAAGTCTGGCGAGTAGGAAGGATTGGAAACAATAACCATGTTGCTGTTAGTCACAAACTCTGTGATTTTCAGGGACGTGTGGGTGGACACAGTGTCATGATGAAGGAGCTGGTTGTGGTTGTGCCAAAGTTCTGGTCTTTTCTGTCGCACATTTTCTCTCAGGTATCTCAAAATGTCATAGTAAAAGTCAGTTGATATTAGTGTTAGGAGGAACAAATTCACATAAAAAAAATGAGCATGGTCTTTGTTGAACTCCAGACCTGCTGCACCTTTTCTGCTCTTGGTGATTGTGGACTCTTCTACTGTAATGATTATTGCTTTGTTGCTGGATAATAGCCCTAAATCCAAGTTTCATCACCCATTATGATCAAAGAGATAAAAGTGGGGTCCTCATTAGCCTTCTCTCATAGCTCAAGATACACTTTTACTTGCTGCTTCTTTTGATCATTTGTCAGTAGTATGGGAATAAACTTCACGGCAGTGCGGCGCATGTTCGAATATTTTGTTAACATCTCCTTACAAACTCCATAACTGATCCCAAAGGTGTCTGCAAGCTCATGGATTGTCCAGCAACAGTCTTTGTGGATGAGTTCTTGAATTTTTTTCAACATTTTCTATCATTTTGCTGGTGCTTGGTCACCCTGAATGTTCATCATCTTCAGATGATACTTGACCAGCCTTGAAACGTGAATGCCATTCAAAAACCGCTGTCTGGCTTAAAAAATGTTCTCAAAAAGCCTCGTGAAGCATTTCAAGGGTTTCAGTAGCGGATTTACCAAGCTTCACAGAAAACATGATTCAGACACATTGCTCAATTTTGCCATCCATTGCAGACAAAATAAAACACAAAGTCGAAAAAGCATTCATGTAAAAATAATACATGTTCACAGCGCAGTGTCATGTGGCAGACTGATGCAACAGGCTTGTGGAAGTGTGACCTTGGTCTCCCCTCTCATCTTCTTTCACCAAGAGAGTTGCAACAATAACAGTCTCGGAACTTTCTGATAGCACCTTGTATACTGACTCTCATCTTCTGACAGCATCATGCTGTCCTCGGCTATTTTTGGCACTACCAATTCATATCCTTTGTTAACAGGACAACATTAATTCAAACAGGAATTTTGCAAGAAAAAAATAAGGGCTACAGTAGAGGGAAAGGTTGGAAAACAAAGGCATGGATGACGTACAACAACAGTATTAACAGAATAGGGGGCAAACCTTGGTTTATCAGCCCTAAACTAAAAAAAGGTCCTCTCTACGTACATATTCTCTACTCAGCTTTGTTGCAGGTTCACACAGTATGTTTGTCCCCATATTTAAGGATCATAGTTTTTATATATGTGAAAAGTACTTTTCAAATCTCAGATAGTTCTACCTTGTCCAAATGCTGAACCTCCAGTTCCAGTACCAAAGGTTCCAAAAGATCCTAGCATTGGGGTTGACTGCTGTTTTACTCCAAAACTCCCATACCCTCCAAATCCTAGAACACAGACATAACAAAACAATCATGCAAATTAACTCCTTTGGCTCACATAAGACCATATAAACTGAACATATTGGTCACATTCTGACACCTGTGTTGTACTCCTTACTGTATGGTGAGCTCAACTGATCACCTGTATCTTTGTTATGCAGGCACTAGAACCATTGCCAATGCAGACTGCTTTATTTCTTTTCCATACTATCTTGCAATATAATTTCTAAAACCTGATTGAATGGATAAATTGAATTAATTTTAAAGTATTTTCCATGTTCCCTGAGTTCTAGTGCAGAAGCTTGTAAGCCTAAAGAAAAATTTGTTATACTGAATGATATGTCCAATTTATGAATTTCCATTTCAATTCAGTCTGTAGTTTCACAGAAATCACAAATCAATTTACAGTACAGCTTTGCCACATAAAGGAATTAGTATTAAGATTACAGGCTGCTTAGGTGTGAGGCTGTGTAGTTTGATATGTACAAACATTTCAGAGGAAACTTACTTACTTACTTATTTACTCATGGAGCTGCGGCCTCCGTAGTCTAGAGGTAACGTTCCCACCTCATGACTCGTGGTACGCGGGTTCAAACCTGGTGGAGGTTGTGGAATTTTTAAGGGCAGAAAAATTCAGGGAACAAGTCCTCCGGGAGGGACTTTAAGCTGTGGGTCCCGTGTCGTAGCTTTACGGCATGTAAAAGAAC